GGGATATTTAGCTTTTTCTGCCATTTCTTCTCATTTAGAAATCATCCTTAAAATATTAAAAAAAACTTTACTATACTTTTTACTTTTTTGTTTACCTTTTTTACTCTTTGTTCTGCCATTTTTAACTCCTTTGAACTGATTTCAGTTTCCTTTAGCTTCCGTTTAGATGATTTTAGCTTTTTCTGCATTTTTAGCTACTCGTATATCATTCTGAACTTTTCTGCTATTCTTCTGTTTTTCTTTGTGCTTCTTTCATGTTCTTTCTGCTATTTTAAGTTTTTATGCTTCTTTCAGTTGCTTTCTGCTAATTTCAGCTGTTTTCTGTGTTTTTAGCTACTTGTTAGCTAATTTGAACCTTTTTCAGCTAAATTCACCTCTTTCTGATAAATTCAGCTTATCACTGCTTAATTCAGCAAATATGTGCTTTTTCTTTTTCCTTGTTCTAAGCTTAGCTATTTCATTGACTTTTTTATTTAGCTATTTTTAGGCTAGATTCATTCAGCTTTTTTTTTGGCTATTCAGCACAAATCTTTCAGCATTAAGCATTCACACTGTGTTTTTGCAGGAAATGGTAATTCTCTTGTTCATCTAGTGTTTAGAGCTAAAGTCCTTAGCATAGTGAAACACCAATGTTTCCCTCTCCTCTGCAGGGTGTTTGTTTGTCAGATAGTTGTAATCACTCAAATGGTCTTAACCCTTGAGGAGAGCCTACAGAATATATAGCCCAAAAAGTCAAAACAGCACACACAGCAAATGTCATTTAGTTAAGCATATTTCTTCTTACTCTCTTAAAATTTTTCCACGTCTGCAGCTCAGTCATGAATCATTTGCCTTCATATCTTTTACTAATCCAAGTTATCAAATCACCCGCGGCAAATACAAATGCTGAGTGATGTGGGGGTCACCTAACTGGTTCATTCATTGTTTTGCAGGTTCTCATGTCATGATTTTGCAACACATTTCTGTGAACCCTGAGTTTCACTCTGAATCCATAATTAAAATAAGTTAGGAGTTATTGCTGTTAGAATCTGCCTTTCTCAGGAATACCCTTGCACTAAGATTGCCAATGTTCTGGGTATTAATGGACACATTATCTTTTTATGGTCACTTTTGAATGTTAAAAGACAAGGTCATAGAAAAACTGTACCAAAAAAAACAAAACAAAAACAGCTAGAATTAAATAAAACCTAAGTCTTATTATTGTGAATGTTTCCTGTTGTTCTTTGTTATAATTTATTAAATTTAAAAAAATATCGAATTTTTGTTTGTTTTGTCAGATTTCTCATAAACATTTATGAGGAGTAATGTGAGTGGAGCAGATAAGAAAAAGCACTCTTTTTATATCAAGCAAAAAATAACCAGCTGAGCGCTTTCGGGGCTCTGCCAAGAAGCAGTGAGGCTGTTTTGTTGGCACGTAGTGACCAAATATTCTGCTAAGCCTCTTGTGTTTGTGGTTCTTGTTTTGCTGCAGTTTGCCATAACAGTATACAAATCCGCACACGCTCACTGCGTGGACACAACGTGGCTAGAATGGCAACCAGTTTTCCGTAAAACACCAAAAAAAAAAAAAAAAA